CAAATGAGATCATGATTTTCACTTCTCAATTTAAATTATTTTTATTGCTTTAAATGACTTTAAATCTTATTTGAGTGTTATCAAAAAGTGTTACTTTTTAAAAAATTAAAAATAGTCTAAAAAAAACCTTAAAATGTCTAAAAATAGTAACTTTATGCTAAGAATGAGACTAAATGAGATCAAATGAGATCACTTTCTCATTTTTTTCAAGTCATGATTTCATTTTAAGATCTGATATATAGTCACTTTACATGTTTTTTTGATAGCCAGTCCCAGCGGGATTCACGCCAAGAAATGTATAGAATCAGACCAAATGGAATCAAACATGAAATTCATGATTCCGGCGGCCAGTCTAATCATACACTTCACTTGAATTATGTCAAAACAGTGATATTTCATTTCATTAGTAAATTTCATATGATTTGACAGATTTATCTTCTTTCAATTCTTTATCAAAGAAAAGAAATAGAATATGAATTTAGTATCTATCTCAGAGTCAAGTAGGTATCTCACTGATATCTTCTTATTCAGAGTATGTATTGTGATTATAATATGAACTTGAAGATATGAGAATTATCAATTCTTCATTTCTTTCTCTTCTTTATCTTTCATAAATACATTTGCTAGAAGAGAAGTTAACTTTGAGAAGATATCTTCTTAGTTTCTTCTCTTCTTCAGCTTCTTACAATCACTGATATAGTGATTATCAGCTTCACAGTTGAAATAGAGATCTTTATCAAATCTTGTTTAATATTTCTTTACAGTGAGTGAAAAATCAGAATTAGACTGGCTGCTGAGATCATGAATTTCATATTTGATTTCATTTGATCTGGTCTCATACATTTCTTGACGTGAATCCCGCTGAGACTAATTATTAAATAAACATGCAAAGTGACTATATATCAGATCTCAAAATGAAACCATGAGTTGAAAAAAATGAGAGAGTGGTCTCATTTGATCTCATTTAGTCTCATTCTTGACATAAAGTTACTATTTTTAGACATTTTAAGGTTTTTTTTAGACTATTTTTAATTTTTTAAAAAGTAACACTTTTTGATAACACTCAAATGAGATTTAAAGTCATTTAAAGCAATAAAAATAATTTAAATTGAGAAGTGAAAATCATGATCTTATTTGAAAAATGTGATAAGAGTAGACAGTAAGTCTCACTGAAACAGTATGAGACTACTATCTAATGTTAGAACTGTGTAATGAGATCTGTTGAATTGGCAATGAGTCTATCAAAAATTCTGGTTCTGGTTTCAGACACGGTCACACGGTCAGTCTAATCAGAATACTTGAAATTCTTCTTTACTTTCTTCACACTGAAGCTGTTATGACATTATTTAGATTCTGTTATTAATTACTTAGAAAGAGTCTTATTAATCTTTTTCTTAAAGAATTGATTATTCAAATAGATCTGAAAAGCCAGATTGACAAGCTCAGTATAATTGATTGATAAATTCTGATATTATAATATCATTGTTTACATCTTATAAGTCAGCTTTGTAAGATAAAGCTATATTTTTAATTGATTCAAATCATCAGTCAATTTCTCTTAATATTCTTTAAATCTTATATTGAAATTGAATGAATTCTCATTATCTTATTAATATAATGAGTTAAATCACTATACTACTGTGAAGCTGTAGTTATAATAATCTTTAATTTGATTCAGTAGAAAGTCTTTGAATTTTTCTTAAGTTATAATAGTATTGATATACTCAAGCTCTCTCTTTTTAATAACTCAAGTAGTTGCAGTGATGTCTTCAAGAAGATTGATAATGTATATTACTTATATCTTATGAGTATTATACTGGCTCAGATTAAGGTGGAATTTCTGTTTAAGAATATAGATAAAGCTGTGAAATTCAGACAATGTATTTCTCTTATATCTCAGAGAATCTCTGACCTTAATCTCTCTATCTTCATAATAGATGTAGATGTGTAGAGATCACAGTGATAACAGAGTGATTGAAGAGCTTATATCAAAATATATAGCAGGTTCAGAAATCTCGGATTTCTATCAGAGTAGAAATATACACACTCTAGAAGATAATGTAGAGTTTCTCTCAGAGAGTGAGATTGAGTCAGTCTTAACACAGATGCATGAGATCATATTAATTTATTAATAGAGCTTGACTGATTCAAACTTGTAATCAGATTAAGAGATTCAAATTATAATATAACAGAACTGAAGCAGTAGCTAGTCAGTGATATTATATAGAGATAGTTATTTAAGAAGCTGTATAAGTGAGCTTGACTATCTTGCTTAAATAGTAAGCTTGTAGACTATAGAGTTATTATAAGAATATCACAGATATAATACTTAGTATACTAAGAAGATTGTATGAGAAATGCAGTAACTCTTATATATATTTCTATAGAAGAAAGATGAATTACTGACTTCTTTAATAAAGAGTCAGTATCTAGCTATTCTATATAGATAATGAATGAATACTCTTCTTTTATTTCATAAGTGAGAATAGTTAAAGTGATACCTCAGCAGTGTCTCACTATTAAGAAAGAGTAATCTGCTGATCTTGTATAGAAGCAGAGTTCTTATATCTATCAATCAGATCTTTCTATAATATATCTGAATAATGTTATAGAGTGATTAAAAACTGGTTCAGATAATCTGTAGAATGAATGAAATCATCTGCATGAAAGTGATAAGTTATGTGAAACTGCAGCAGAGTCTTGACACAGTCAGAGGCATGACAATCATTTTCAATTCTTTTATTCTCTTTTATCTGTATTTATTCTGAATTTCACAGTTCTTTATCTTTTATTTATTTATTCATTCTTATAACTCTATTATGTATATCTTCTTATTCTATGAAAGATAAACATTCTCTGTGATATCTACTTAATCTTCTATTATCTTATTGTTTCAGACTCTTCATCTTATTCATATTCATTGTTTTCATTGTTCTATTATCTTATTATTTCAATTTCTTTCTTTATTCAGTTCTTATACAAGAAGAATATTAATCTGCATCTGAAAAAAAAGTCTAGCACTTGCTATTATTATTATTATTATTCTTTCATTATACTTATATACAAGCGGAGCTTATGATGAGTCCTTGCATGATGTTAAATACAGGTCAAGTGTTGATTATACAGGAGGAAATACAGGTGTTGAGATCATGCCAAGATAACAAGAACATAGGAAAATACAAAGAAGTGACAATTAGATACATGTGATAATAACTTCTCAGCCCAGAAACATAGAGCAATTCATTGAAGCGATTTGTACACCTCTGTATTTATTAGAAACCTGAGGTGCTTGAGTTTCAGATTTAATGTATTTCTCTGCGGGTTTCGAACCCACGCGCCTTGGTTTCCCACGCCAAGGTGCTACCGGGTGGCCGCATTAACCATTCAGCCACCGGGGCGTCTAGCACTTGCTCTCTCATTTGTTATTAAGTTTAATGCCCGCGGTATTTAGTAGTTTCTATCATCTTCTTTCAATCTCATTTTTTTCATCTCATTATCTCATTTTCATGCATTCACTTCTTTTCAGACAGGGAAACTGTGATATTCATTCTTACTACTTCTCAGAGCTTTCACTTCTTTCTTCTTTCTCTCTATTCTTATTTCTCTATCTGAAAGTATATTCACTTACTACTTCTCAGAGCTTTCATTTCTTTCTAAGACTTTTATTACTTTCTTTCTGAGACTTTTATCTCTTTCTTTCTAAGACTTCTGTTTCTTTCATTCTAAGACTTCTGTTTCTTTTATTCTGAGACTTTCATATCTTTCTTTCTGAGACTTATGCTTCTTTCTTCTGTAAAGTCAATTACAATAAACAAACAAGTATGTATATATATATATATAGAGAGAGGCGCCCGCTCATCTTCATCTTAGAAAAATAAAACAAGATTTACCTTTTTATATATATAATACATGATCAGTATATACTACAGATAATATATACTACAGTCTCTCTTTACTTTTTCTTTTATATTCTTTTCTATCTACTTATTTAATATATCTATCTTTAAGACTTTGTTCTTTTTTCTTTTATCATGATATTTCTAAATCATTTCAAAGTATTAGAAGATGTTAAAATACTGTAATTTATAAAGAGTTTTTATCTTTTGAGCTGAAATTTTCTGATTTTACATATCTGAAATTGATAAATGTATAATAGTTGACTTTATAGATATTAGAAAAACTCTGAGAACTAAAAGTTTTCAGATAGATATTATAGTCTATAACTGTATATATCTATAATAGAAGAAGAAGAATAATAATAATAATAAAAAATTACTTTTATTTTATTATTTTTAAATTAAATCTGATCATTTTTCACATTATTTCTGAAAAAAAATAAAAAAATTATTTTCAGATTTTTTTAATACTCAGTTCTGATCAGACTATATTAAGAAATGTATAAAATCAGATTAAATAAAATTAAATATAAAATTTATAGTGTTACTGATCAGTCTAGATATAATAATTATTAATTAAATATTTTCTTTTTTACTTTTTTATAATTTAATATATTTCACTCTGTAAGCTTTTTCTAAGTAAGTAAGTAGTAATATAATATGAATTACTAAGATTTTAAATATATTAATATAAATAAAATAAAATTATTTTAATATCAAATAAATACATTAAATGAAAAAGTAGTTAAAATAAATAATTCTATTAATAAGAAATTTTGAATTAATAGTATTATATATAAAACATATTTAATAATCTGTGAAAAATATAAAACTTAATTGAAAAAGTTACTATCTAGTGAAAAAGTTATATAGTAAAAGAATTAATAAGTTAAAATATTTAACTTAATAGATACTATTTTATAAGTATTATAAATAACTATAAAAAAGTAATATTATGAAAAAGTAGTATTATATATAAATTTTAATCTGACTGTTAAAAGTATACATAATTTTACATATTTTTAACTTTGTTAATTTCAATTATAATCTCTTACTATTCAGTTTAATTACAACTGAATATAAGATGTTTTTTATGTAGTGAATATTGCATAAAGTATATAAAATAATGCAAGTGAATCTCTTACAAGAACTTCTATGAAGTTGAGCATGCAATTGAACACACTTTCAAGCTTTTTCACTGAAAAGAATTCAAACAAGTTATTTGACTCATTTGTCACTGTAAGCTGTCATAGATCTCATTGATCTCAGTATCAGTTTGAACAGGACAGCCTTGTCAAAAAAGAAAAAAAAAAAACAAACCAATAGAAGGAGATCGAAAATGATGATAATTGCACATAGAGAATGAATAGAAATTTAAAAATCATAATCATGTAGTCGAAAGTCAGTGATACAAAACCGTAGGCTGCAAAATTTTGGCAAACGGCAATGCATGTATTGATCCCTGGCCCAAACCTTCAGCGCCTCTTTGCTGGGGCTTATAATGTAGCCCCGAAGGGGAAAAAAAAAAAAGAAAACCAACCAAAGAAAGGAGCAGAAATCCAAAAGAGAGCATAACGTTCATTCCGGCATCACACCTCTTAGAAGAGCCAAGACACAAAAGTCCGATAGAAGAACCCAGCCTTCTCATAACTTTTGGTCTCCGCCGCTTTTCTTGCTAAAAACTCAGCCTCCTCACGATCGATCTTGTCCTTTCCCGTCCACAAATCAGCCTCATGAGGCTTCACACCCGACGTTTTATTGTAAAATTTGTACCCGAAGATGAGAATGAGGTACAGCGGGACACCCAAGTACGCTGTGATAAAGTTCTTGTAGTCGAAATTTCCGTATGTGTCCGGGTCATGAACAAACACTTCGAAGTTCTTGGTAAGACCGATGAGAATGCAGAATGCGAGGGCACCGTATGAGCCAAATGAACCGAAGGGTGCTTTAAAAGCGAGCGAGCTCTCTGGGACACCTTGTGCTTTGCGTGCACGAATGAAGCAAATGTGTGTAACAAGGATGGAGATCCAGGTCAGCAGCCCGAAAATGGTAACTAGGTTAACGAAATAGCCGAACACAACCTTGGAGTCGTTGGAAACGTTCATGTATGCCAACAGAGCAAATAATGCAGACATGCCCAGCGCATAAATGGGAACACCTCTCCGGTCCGTCCTGGCAAGGATCCTTGGTGCTTTCCCCTCCCGGGCGAGGCCGTAGATGGTTCTTGTCGCGATGTACAAGTCAGAGTTGGCAGCGGAAAAGACGAAAATCAAAATGCACGCATTGAGAATTCCAGGGAGAACTCTGATACCGGAAAGTTCGATGGCCACAACGAATGGGGAGGCAGCAGCGGAACTAGATGATTTAGCCGCGAATGCAAGTTCTCTCGAGTTATATGGAACCAACATTCCCAGCAGGAACACGCTGAGGATATAGAAGAAAAGGATCCGGTAAAAGGTGAGTCTAATAGCGCGAGGGATGGTCTTTCGAGGGTTCTGAGCTTCCCCTACAGTAACACCAACGAGCTCAGTACCGAGGAAAGCAAAAGTTCCCGTAACCATGGTCGACCAAAATGCAAGGAAGCGGCCTGATGAACCCTCCTTGATATACGTGTTGAAAGCACCTGGATCCTTCCAGTAGCGGAATCCCTTTCTGTCATGATCCGGGCCTCCACCTAAAGCAAGGATCAGAGACAGCAGTATCAAGCCGATGATGACGATGACCTTGAAAGAGGACAACCAAAATTCGAATTCTCCGAAAAATCGAATGCCGAAGTAGTTGATACACACTATCGTGACCAAGAAGACCGTAATCCAAACTCCTGGATTCACCCTTTCCCTGTCAACCCAGTAGGAAATCACTAATGCGCCTGCGGTCAGTTGGTTTGGAGTAACGATGATGTATTTACAATAGTATCTGGCCACGGCTTAGTTAGCTACTAGTTACGGAGTACACTGAACTACCTTTAGCGAACCCTTGAACAATGAAAGTGGGGCCAGAAATATGGGGCTACTACTAACAGGTAACCGAGCGCAAAACCTAGTGCAGGATCACAAAAGCGAACAGCATAACCGGTAAACCCTGAGGGAGTGGGAAGCCATGCTGCCATTTCGCCAACTGCGCACATAACGACATACACGATGAAGCCGACTACCGAATACGAGATCAAAACAGACGCAGGCTGTAAAGAGTTAGAGATTCCAGTCCTTCGGACATTGCGCACGCCATCCTTCAGGCATAGCAATCACTTACGCCAGCCCTATACAGCAGGAATTAGCAAATGCCAAATAGGAAGATAGTAAGAACTGTGTGAATGGACTATAATCAATATAGCAGAAGATGTACTTACTTTGCCAGAGCAGAACCTGTGCCAATAATAAGACCAGTCCCAATGGCACCGCCAATAGCTGCAAGCAAGTTAGCCTTGTGCAGTGCAAATAATTGCAAGCACGACAAGATGCAGCCGTACCAATCATAGTAATATGCCGAGCCTTCAAGCCACGACGCAGGGCGACTCCCTTCTCATCCTCATCAACCACGCCCTCAGGCTCCGCAGGGACATTCTCCTCAGAATATTCATTCTTCACTTGGCTTTCGACGGACGAAACATCCTCTTTCCGACTCCAGTTAGCCATGCCACACAGGGTAAATCGCACAAAAGCACACTGGCCGTTTTGGGTTTTTAATGGAATGGCTTCAGGAAAAGGACGAGAAATGCGCTTCGTTAATTGCAGGTCAGATATGCCAGTCACCGAAAGAGGAAGAGGTGAATTTTGTCAAAAGCTTCGAAGTGCCGAGGACCCGGGTATTATATACACCCAAGTGCCACTGGTTTGCCTTCTGAGGAGAGCCCGAGGCCATGAGAGGAGTTAAAAGTTAAAATCTAGCGGGTTTCTTGTGCTACCCAATCTGGACTTAAGTTCTTCTTATAGCGAGAGTCAGTGGCTATCAATGGTAACGTCAGCAAGGGCAGCGGTTTTCGAACTTGAAGCATGCGCCTTGTTCGTAAGTTAATGCTTTGCAACAGTCCATGTGTCCTGGTTGCCTCTGTGTTAATCAGATCCACGCACAATCACACTCTTCTCCAACACTTGACCAAATATAAGGAAGGTATTTTTTGTTTCGCGTATTCTTAAAGCCTACAGCGGGGAGCCATGCTACGGCTGAACCTATATTTCCGTGGGCGGGGGAAGAGTAAAACAGTGGTCAGTGGCCAGTGGCCAAGCGGGCAATTATATGGCCTCTTCCCACGCCCACTCACTCGCCGGTGCAGCCAATAACGATAATCACCAGATTAAAAAGAAAAAAATGGGCACAAGGGAATTTCTTATTTGTACTTGGTTTCCCAGGGCTTTTTCCAGGCTTCTTCCAAGTGTTTATGACCCCACCATGTGTTTGCCCTACCTAGATACTCAACTGGGCTCAATGCTGGATAGCCTTTCTAATATGGATTCGGGGTAAATATTGTCATACAGTGTTTCCCGCGCTGAAAGAGCAATGCTAAACCATCTAGCGGTTCGGAATTGGTGTGGCTGGAAGCAAGCAAATCATGTTAAACAAGATTCATCGGTCCACCAATGCGGAGATACTACGGCAGGCCCCGGAACACAATTGGTTGGTTCGATTATTCTTCAGTCGTTCTAAAGCACTTCTTTGCCTCATCGTGCGGAGTATCTTTTCTTGTTAATCTTGGGAACCACCCATAAGGGTGCCATGTTGCGGAGCCGTTGACAGAAATGTTCTTGTTCTCGCTCTGGATCTTGGCCGCGTTGAGTTTTCTTTTCTTTCCGTATCATAATGGAGGACAAGGAAGACATGTATGCTGAGGCTAAATCCGTTAAGTAATGAAGTCTAATACACCAACCATATCAAGAGAATGGAAAATCCAGGGGCTAGAAATCGGTGACCTAAAACGCTTCGTGAAGATCTATTGCATGAAACGTAAAAACTCTATCCAAAAGAAAATCCACTCGAAAATAGGTATGGCAAGGATCAAAACTACTAGGGTACTTTTGAAAAACAACAAAAGGTTGTTCACCACCATGGACCCGCTCTTCTTGCTTGCCCTCGCTCGACCAGGATTAAGTTATATGCTTATGATTTCAAAATTCCCAACAAAATGCCCCTCTGTAGGCGCACTGATCTCCATACAAGTATAAGCGAAAACCGTGAAGAATTTTTGGCCCGCGGGGTAACGAGAGTTGCATGACCAATTATCAGATGGACTACATTATTTTATCTCCTCTTTTCTCTCCCCTTTCACCCTTTCACTCCCTTGTAATCTGCAAAGTTCATTGGTTGGAAAACTTTTGGATGATCGGTAAAACTTCCCTCCCTAAAATGTAACATTGATGCGCATATTTTGGAATCATGCATAGCGCGTTCGTGGAAGAAGCAATTTACCGGAGACCCGAGGGTATTCAGATTGCTGGGTTCCCCAAGGGGTGCCCAAGTGGTTAGGATATACCCGCTTCAGCCATTCTCCGAAATTTATACGCAATAGGTGAAAGAGGGGGGGAAAGGGGCAAGTCTCTTGTCGGCATGAGAACCACTTTTCAATAATAATTCTAACCAAGTAATTGGCATCCAGGCAATCTGCAAATCAGAAAACGTCGTTCTGGCTCAATAATAATGCGAAAACTGTAACATAAATACCGGCTTAATTGCGGGGAACCTGGCATTGCCTTTAACCCGAGCCCTATACCAATGCTTAGGAGTGTATACAGTGCCATAGACCCTGTGGAGTTATTCTTAATACCGGTAACCACGGATATGGAGGGCGAGGCAGTCGAAGTAAGCTTAAGAACAAGCTTGCCGAGCCGCACTATAAAATGCTTAAATCTCCAAACGCGCTATCAACGCACCGAAAGGGACTGCCAAGCCTCCGTAGTTGGCGAGCTATCATTTTCGTTCATTTCTTAAACCTGAACAACTACAACTTGTAAAGAGTGTTTTGTGAGTTGTTTTTTGGTTGGTTATCATCAGATCAGTTACGGCGTCAAACAAGCAATGTGCAGATTGACAGAAGTTAATTCATCGGTCTGTGCCAGCCTTGTTTCGCGGGTTGGGATAGTCGGATGAAGCATGGTTAATTTTTCAATTTCGGGTTGGTCGGAAAATCAATATTACAATATCAATGTCAACCCGAGCGCAGCTAAAGACAAAATGCACGTACAGGGATTACACAAAAACCAAACACGTCGGGATGTATGTTTCAAGAATGTGGACGACAAACAGTTCATCTGAATTATTCAAATGTCCATCCTTGAGTCCAGACTTACTTGATAGATAGTGGAACTTAGGGCTCTTCATTTTCTAGCGTAGAGTAAACATGTAATCATCTGCAGGTTTTGCAATGAGACGGTGGTTTTACAATATTAGAGGGATTTGCGCGCACATCAGTCTTGGCACATCTAAACAAAATGTTGTAGGATTATTCTTCTTCTTCTTCTTCCATTATACTCATATGCAAAAAGAGCTTATGGCAACGTCCTTATGTGATGCTAATACAGGCCAAGAGTTGGTTATACAGGAGGAAATACAGGTGTTGAAACCATACAAAGATGACAAGAAACATAGGAAATACAAAGAGTTGAAAGTAAATTTATGTAGTTATTTAGTACACCCCTGTATTTTTAAGTTCTGTGGGTTTTGAGCCCACACACCCACACCAAGGCGCTGGCATGATCACCCAACCTCATTTCCACTCAATGCCCGCTGATTTAATTATCTAATATCTCTTAATGAGTTAAAAGAAGTAGTTATTAAAGAGATTATTGCATGATTATACTGTGTATATTATAATCTAGCTAGCAACAGCTAATATATATATGTGAGTGAGTTAGATAGGTTAGAGCTGGTGTAGAACCTCCAACAACCAGATTAGATAGACAGTGATAACTTTAAACTTCTGTGTGCACATAAGATTTGCAGTTTTTTACATATTAATTATTCGGAAGCCAATTACTGAGCTAAATCCAATCCTTTATAGCCCTGATGAATTTAGTAAAAAGTATGCTGTAACTATGTACGGAGTATAAATCCCTCGTTATCGCAGTAAGTTCTCGGGAGCGCCGGGAAGAAACATAAAAGTCGGAGGCCGTTAGGACGAAGCTAGTAGTTATTCATCAATTTTTATCGCTCAGCTTGTTTCGGGTCATGTGTAGCCCGAGATGAACATCTACCTGGAAGGGCTGGCATCGATCTCCGCCCCCGTCCCTTAGTTTCACCGCGCAGTAGGTTTCGGAGAATGTAGCAAGCGTTGAGCAGTTGAAACATAAGGCTGCAAGGATGTCCTCTCATCAAGCAAGTAGTCTCGCCGCCCGATCCTGTTATTCGCCCATTATAAGCGGAGCAATTCGCAGCGCATCTCCTATCTGCGAAGCGGCATATTAGGTGGACGGCTGCTATGGTATGAGAAAGGCCACCTATTGGAGAACACAGAGCTACATGGCTTGAACCATAAGAAAGAGAAAAAGCAATAATAAAAAAATAAGAGAAAAGGGCACGCTCCCGTGGCGTAGTTAATGAAGCATATTGATTACATTACAATGCGAATTTTGTCTGGAAAAGCCCATGATTCTGTTTAGGGAGCAAACAGCAAAGGAAGAATTGAAAGAAGAGGCTTATTCTCGAACATGTTACAAACAGATAACCAATTGACCAAAAGAGAAGGCTTTCCCATAAAGGAGTTTCATACATACCAAACCCTCACGGACGCTCCCACACAATTCCACGTCTATACTTCCGTCTAAACAATGCTCCTTCTCCCCATCCCCCACAAAACAAGAAAAAAAAAAAAAAAAAAAAAAAAGCCAATGCAAGGATAAAATATTCAGGGTATCTTTATACATAATTATCTTGTCTGACTAGCCGTCCAACGCTAATATACAATCTCCAACACGAGATTGGGGTTATCTACCCTCTGGTGCCTCGGGTAGCGCACCAACACGGCCATTTGTCACGCTACCCTGGGGAGGAAGATCCGCATAGGACAGGGGAAAAGCATCGCCCCCGCCTGATGTTGACGCTTTGCGGAACGCTTCACGGGCAAGCATGGTATTGAGAACAGCGCAGTTATAAGCGGCTTCACCTGGTGGGACTACGACGAATATATATGTATTATCGGTGAACCGACCTAGGAACACATTAAACTGCGGTGTCTTGGTATGCATAACTAGAAAACTCGCTGATGCCGGCGTAGTATGCGTATTCCTAGCAGCGCAATGCTTGAAAGCCTTCATGATGTTCGAGAGGCGTTCGTGACGATCAAATATAGGGTTCAAACGGCCAACCTCCGATGCAACGGAAGTGACAGTAAGGAATGTTGATCGCTCAAATAATATGATCTCCTCAGCATCGATCTTCTCAGCGAAGGCTTGTAGGAATCGTTCGATGACAGAGAGGTTCGGGATGAGCTTGTGGACAATTCCTGCCCATGCCTTGTATAGGGACTGGTCCCATATACTACTGCCGAACGTATCTATTGCGAATGACCCAGATCTTGCGCGGATAAGAGAGGAGCGCTCTTCATATATTCGCTGTCGATGTTCCGTTTGGATTAAATCGAGTTTGTGGATAAGGCAGAAGACGAAGGCGCTGGGGCTGAATTCTTGAAGGGCGGTTATGATAGCAAAATAGGTGTCGAGGTCGCGTTCGACTTCACGGGATTCGATGTCGAAGACGTAGATAAGTACAGCGACGTCGGAAAAGATGTTCTCCCGTTGCGATGCGAGATAAGTCTCCATGAATGCATCTTGCCTGGCAATCTCGTAATAAGCCAGCCGTCAGAAAACGAACGGCACCATCAATCAGTGACGCTCAGGAGCAGGTATGGGTGTTCCATCCATTGCAAAAACTCACCCGCCACAATCCCAGAGATTTAAAGTCAGGTTTCCCATGAACTTGACATGACTGTGTTCCACATCGATCGTAGCTCCTAAGCGGCGGACATCCTTGGCTACATAGTTGCTGAATATGATCGAGCGCATAGATGACTTCCCCGAGCCACTCTTGCCCATGAGTAGGACCTTGCGTTTCTTCTTTCGCATATCCATTGCTACCGTGCCGTTCTTTATTTTGAGAATGCGAATAAGCTAGGGCAACCCGAGGTATTATTGATGAGGAAGCTAGATGCGCATATCATTGAAGCTTTTGCGGGGGAAGAAGCTGGGGTAAACGTGACGTTGCGCTCAGATGCTCCTGGCCTCAATCTTGGCCAAACACCCAATTCATATTTAGGGTGGGAAGTTGCGCATTCGGTTGTTTTGTCCCTATGGTATGCTTCAATAGTCAGACCAGACAGTATTGACATTGGTTAACATTCGA